AAATTGCGTGCGTGGTAATGAAAACCACCATTATGTCACCAATTGTAAAGAAATTCACTGAAAAAAACCCAAGAAACTTAAAATACAATATTTGAGTGGAGTGCACTAAATTGACAACAAGGGGCAAGATCATTCGTATTTGTCGTGTTTTATTTTGTCGGACGGAACAGTGACGTGTGTCAGGGGATCTGCAGTGTTTATTTATATAGACGACTTTCAAATTCCTTAATTACAGGTATTTTATACTAATATATCGGACGTGAATTCAGTGTTATATAGCGGGGAGTCGTTCGATTCTTGTGAAGCATTAACGTTGCTTGGGTATATGGTCAGAAAAAGAAAGCCGGTGTGATACCCCCTTGGAAGGACATCTAACACCGAACAGAATCAATAATACCCGGCAGTTGAAAAGCGAATGCTCTTTCAAAATGGAAAAAAAAACACGCATTCTACTATTGACACCTTAACGTATTATTCGATCAATCTCAATGAGCGTGGAAAGACATTTTTGTCCGTGCCCTAGGAAAAACACGGCATTGCGAAGACAGTATTCCTATAACTGCTACAATTTATTCAGCATATCGGCTAAGCGAGGTACTAGATAATGTGTTGTGCGAAAATATATCACTACACCACAGACCACTAAATAAGTTCTGTTAGTGGTCTGAGGCCAAAAAGTGACTCAATTCCTCTACCCCCAGTGCACAAGGTTTTATTTCAATGTCTCACAGAAATGAAATCACGACTACGCCACAAAAGGTCTTCCCTCATTGTATCGGTTTACGACATAAGGTCACATGCTGCATACCAAGACGATAGTGTTACCTTACCGGGAAGTTGTTGAAAATAAATATATCAGGTTTAACTTCCGGGTGCGGGATACAAGTTATTATTTTTTAAACTTATATGCCGTTTTCTTTCTAATTAAGTTTAATTATAAATAGCTATGATAATACTATCGTTATTTGAACTGTGTGATTTATTTGTTCAACCCTGTTGGGTTGAGTATATCCAGGGTGTCCTCGCACACTTGTTGCACTTGCGTTCGTAAGCCAATAGATTTATTGCGCCGTATTTGAACGATTCTGCCTCGACTTCCTACTTTATACAAAAGGGATCACTATTTCGAGATACAACTTTGAAGTTGGCATTCTCGTCCAATGTATCACCATTACCCCAGCGGACAACAAAGCGAACAAAGAGCAGTGTCTGCCAGAGACATATACGATAGGGCCCAATTATGCTGCGACACACCCAAAAGATGACGTCACAGCTTTCACTTTTTTCCCCTGAGTTGAGGGCCCCAATTTTATAGAAACGTTCTCTATTGATAAGCGCTGACCCCGTCGTTGACGTCGCAGCGGAATTCCAAACTAGCTGTTGTACGATCTTTCATTTAGCCACACGATCTGTTGAAAACGGCGGAAATAGGCTGGAGGAGAAACTACTGGCCACAAGTGACATACGCTGTAACCGTACTGTTCATACTCGTGATTAATTGAATATCAACTCCCCTGATCGGACGCGATTCCATTCGCCCTCGGTCAATGTTTACCTGAGTTGGGGGCATACGCGATCAGGGACACTCCATAGTTCGCAGTGTACCAGCAACGGCCCCATTGACATTAAAACCGCATCGCACATCGTGCCGGGACATCGTAACTGGATGTTATGGCTCTACACGCTCCATACAGGGCGAACAGTGTGAACAAATCCTTACCAATGGCAACGGTATGTATATGTCTGTACTTAAAATATGGTGTATGTTTGTCGCCGATTCACGACGCCCCCCCGTGTAAATGACATTACCAAGTAACCCACTTATATTCCCTGAGTATAATTCAAAGTGAGTGCTATATCAGTTATTAGAGTCTATGCTTGATATGATCGACACAATCACAAGGAGTCGTAAATTGGTAAACACGGACTGGGTAGATGCTAATCAGAGCAATAGAGGCGGTAATCGCCGTAATAACAATCTGTATTTACCCACGACGGTTTGAGTCGCATGGTTGGTTATACAATAACTGGGTGAGTTGTAGAAGTTATCATGGTTTATTCAAAATCTCCAATTTTTGACCAGGAGATAGAAGGGTGCTAACTGAGAGCCGTTCGACAGCTGCCAGTTAAGCTTCCACTATGCTAATGACTAGCGCGAACGTGGTCGGTATCGTAGCGGTGAGTATAATGCACTCTGGGGTCAAATCGAGCCGGTGAAAACATAACAGATTGTGATGAAATGGGACATGGGAACCGGTAACTATTATTCTAAATTTGCCACCCCTTTGACCCCATGGTGACATTGTATCTAACGCTATGTATAGTTAGCATATGTTTGTCAACATAACTGCACAATATTTCGCCTAGTAGTATATATCGCGTGAGTGAAAATAACACAACTTAATAAATGAAATATGTTATGTACACACATAAGTGTACTAAAATGGTACAAAATAATATGAACTTGTCTCTTAAACAGAAGAACCGTTTCCGTGACAACCGCCCGCGTTATTAAAGTCAACTTGTCGGATTACCGGTAACCTGGAAAAAATCGTGCATTAACATCTCATCAAGAGTCGTGTTAATTTGCTGCCAGCGTACACAAAGACGGCGTTATTTTGTATAATGTCATTCTTGTCATTGTCGCCTGGAAATCAACGAAGGTCATCCTACAAGCAGTCGTTGTTCATTTCAATGAAAAAAATACGGGCTGTGTCAAAACACGGTGCATTACTGTTGTACTTAACGACCCGGCGGCCATGACACTCACAAGGACTGGTATAAATGAAAAAAAAAAAAGTTCGTGCAGTCAGAATTGTTTGGAAGTGAAAGTTACGAGATGCATTCATATGCTGACAAAAACACCAGGCACGCATCGATCGCCAATAAAACGGCACACTGGCATATGGCAATAAGTATACAGCCACTAACAGTATATTGGTATTGGTCTCGTACTAGCACGAAAATAAACGTGCCGACCTATTGAACAAATGACATTAGTATGACTAGGGAATGAAAAATGTATTCCTGGTAAAACCGGCTTCATTTATTATATTAGCAGACGTATTCTCAGCTACGTAAATGGCGTACAATTTGAACAGGCTGGTATATTATATGTGATTAATCATGTAAGGCAACTATAATTGCAGCAGATGGATTTGTTTTAAACGAGCCCTTTTCGGAATTTATATATCTGTAGAAGAACACAATTGCATCGAACCCGTTACTCATAATGTTGTAGGATTCATTATGATTTTGCATATTTAAATACATTTTACGTTACAATTATATACATGTACAAAGGGAAACGTCGATACATTTATAGGCCCGCAAGTAAATATAGTTAAAATAGTGATTTTCCCGTTTTATTATCTGTTACGGACATTCAATATGGCAGTTGTCGCATGAAAGTGTAAGTTATTCAAATGTGACGAGAAAATAACCATTCACGTCCTGTCGTGATTGTCTTGGCATTTTCACACATCGTTTGACCGCTCTTCTCTTCAATAACCCCCATGGTTGTCATGTTAAAAATTCCGAAACTTAATCAAAGTGTGTCAGTGTGGTCCAATAAAGTCGGTAATTTGGGCGAGAAATCAACAACGACGTTTGATTACTTATTGTATCACAGAGACAACCAATGGAAATAGATTTCTTGACACGTCTTTGTTGCCAATAAACGAACATTTCTTCTGAAACAATGAGTGAACCAAATGTTTTGAACGTTTTGACGCTGTAATTTAAGCAAAATGTTTGACCCGATTGTACCACTAAATGTAATGGATATTGGGGAACTCGTAGTTGTATCGCAACTAGTGACACCGATTACCCATCATCGAAGTGGTTTCTTTGCAAACTTATAAATGCATTTTTTCGTAACATAATATTTGGGTTTCGACGGATCGAAAACCAAACCATCGTTTGAAAACGCTATATAAACTCAATTATAACAACATGACCATGCAAAATCAATTCCGGTTCAATTCGCTATATCTAATTGTAGCATTGCATTGTTGGAGTGTGGATCAGATGATTCATGGCTGAATGTAGACGAATCTATGCATATCAATTGGGTGCAGGAGAAAAACAAATTAATATGAATTTCACCGATACAGTTTGTCTGTCAACTCGCAACATCCATCCGTCAAATCCCTGGAACTGTCAAATAAGATGGTGGCATAAGCATGCAAAACACTTTGTTATACAGTCACATGACGTCTCGGTTCAACAAGCATCATAAACCCAATGGTAATTACCAGTATGTTAATTCACTAGTTCCAAGTATTGTCAAATCATTGTTGAGATAATATTAACTCCGTTGCCCCAAGTATTATCCATCACTGGTAAGAAGTTATCTCACTTGTCCCAAGTAGTAGCGATCACTGATGAGTTTTTATCTCACTGGTCCCAATTATCTGCTATAAACTGGTGAATTAATATTATTTCTCTGGCCCAAGTATTAGCCATCACAGATATAGATATTATCTCACGGGTTCCAACTAACAGCTATCAACCATCGCTGGTGAGATAATATTCCCTATCTGGCCCAAGTATTAGCCATCACAGATATAGATATTATCTCACTGGTCCCATGTATCTGCTATAAACTGGTGAATTAATATTATCTCTCTGGCCCAAGTATTAGCCATCACAGTTATAGATATTATCTCACTGGTTCCAACTAACAGCTATCAACCATCGCTGGTGAGATAATATTCCCTATCTGGCCCAAGTATTAGCCATCACAGATATAGATATTATCTCACTGGTTCCAACTATCAGCTATAAACCATCACTGGTGAGATAATATTATCTCTCTGGCCCATATATTAGCCATCACAGATTAGATATATTATCTCACTGGTTCCAACTATCAGCTATCAACCATCACTGGTGAGATAATTTTTTCTCTCTGGCCCAAGTATTAGCCATCACAGATTAGATATTATCTCACTGGTCCCAAGTATCTGCTATAAACTGGTGAATTAATATTATCTCTCTGGCCCAAGTATTAGCCATCACAGTTATAGATATTATCTCACTGGTTCCAATTAACAGCTATCAACCATCGCTGGTGAGATAATATTCTCTCTCTGGCCCAAGTATTAGCCATCACAGATATAGACATTATCTCACTGGTTCCAACTATCAGCTATAAACCATCACTGGTCAGTTAATATTATCTCTCTGGCCCAAGTATTAGCCATCACAGATTAGATATTATCTCACTGGTTCCAACTATCAGCTATAAACTATCACTGGTGAGATATTATTTACCTGGTTCTAAGTATTAGCCATCACCGATAAAATATTAGTTCGCTGGTCCCAAGTATGAGCTATAAACCATAACTTTTTAAATAATATTATTTCCATGACTCCAAGTATTAACCACCACAGAAAAGATATCACCTCGCTGGTCCCAAGTATCAGCTATAATATATTTATTAGCATAATAATATATAAACATAATAATCTCATCTTCCCATAATGTATATGGAATCTAACACTAGAGTCATATACAGAGAGATACAATGTTTATTTCTAGCGTATCAACGCAATAAGCTGGTGACATTATATAATTTTTCTTGAAGGCCATTCTGTGACCCATACCATGCTTAACCTGTTCGGCTTTATTGATTTTCGACGTCCTTGGTTCAATGCACGTGGTTGATTCGCAATGTGTTTTTTTAACGCAACGCTCTGTCTTTCCCCAGTCGTAGCTGTTACACATGCATTTACTCAACCTGTAATAATTATCTCCAGACTTGTGTTGCCATGTTGTCAACTACAGGTGCGTTGTTCCCGTCAGTTGACTAGAAGTATCTCCTGATCTATAGTGTGTGTCGCTTACTGAACTGAACGTTGAAACAATGTTAAATGGTGAAGCGGATGTAAAGTGCACTCCGATGTACGATTCAATCAATAGTTTCGCTCAGTTGTGTACACATGTTTTATGATGCATAAAATTGTTTGTGCGGAATAAAATACATTCGTTGTTGATTGTATGTTGTTGGTGCCCAATACTTACATCGTTGTAGCAATTATATATCAGTATAACTCAATCATTCGAAGAAAATGTAATTTGAAATTTGATTATTACTAACGCTAACGTTGTACCCATCGATCGTTGTACATCGAAATAGTAACTTGCAGTGGCTTGAACTCGACAGAATAATATCTGTTCGTTTATGTTGAGTTTGTGAAATGGTTATTAAAGCTTAGTGGTTAACATATTTGGTGAATTAAGCCGAGTGTTATAAAATCAACCAAAAAGCTATGTTAAGACAGTACTAATAGTGACTGTTATAAAGGGACAACTCGGTATATAGCTCTAATCTCACTGCAAATTGCATACTGTGTTTTAAAATTTCATATTTTTAGCGTAAACAACATGGGTGTCCCATGATTCCGTATTGTAATTCCAGGGGACCACTGCTTCCCTTTCATCTTGTGTACGTCAGTGTGTACGTTTCTTATTTTCTACAGTATTCTATTTTTTGTAATGCTATCCCACCCAGACGCAGACTGGCTTCAAATTAATAGTGTACCATAACAAAAACACGTTATTATTTAAAACCGGTTGTATTGTATGCAATTGTTTATTCATGTCAGATAAGCTTACATGTACATGTTAAGATCGTTTGTCTTTGGTGGTGTCATCTTGCAAAAGTACTCATGTGGATATTCGGATTCTCGATGGCGGCGGCTACCATGAATACTAAGCCCTTGTTCACATCTAGATATATTATAATACCCTCTGAAACAGTCAGATTTCAGTACTGACCGCTATGTCTATGCGATACATGACCTACATCCAAAAGGAGAGATAGGTGCACTCTAGGCTGGAATGTCAATATGCGATCATTAGCAACATTGCTATGTCCGCTTTGTTGTCATATGCGGTATGAGTTCAATAGCGTCCATTGAAGTGTACATATGTTGTTCTATTAAATTTGTTTTGTTCAGCTCGTACGGATGGTTGAGATCACTCACATATTTTGGGGGATTGTGTTGGGAAAATGTCGGCGACAGGTAAAGGGTAAGGGCAATGTTCGATAATGCTAAGACGCCGAACAGCATTCCTGAATATCGACCATGTGCACGTGAACCTATCAGATTTACGTCATAGCAATTACTTACCAGTTTAATGTGTGGCTATCAATTTTTATATTGTAAAATATGATTTTTTACTGTTGCTCATAATTGTAACCATTTTCCGGCTGCGTATCCCGTTTTTGATAACAGGGTGGAATGCTCCTTTATAAATTGGAATAGTTAATGGGGTAGAAAGTATGTTCCTTAGTAGATTGATGCGTCCGGTGTTTGTTAAAATGAATAAATAAGTAACCAAATTAAAGTCGATTGCTAACCTTGGAGCAATTTTAAGTTTAGTTAGGTCGTAGTACTACTTCTTTATTGAGTAATAGCTCCATTGTCCCATGAAAAGAAATAACGAGACGATCCGTCAGGTATGTTCATGCCTGATTTTTAAAAGAATCACTCTGAACAAAGGTTGGATAAACATTGAGAACTGTCAATACATTGCGATGTGTGTCGAGCAGACATCACAGGCGTCAGACAATATGTATTTACCATGTCTGTTTCAGGTATGAGGATGATTGATGAGCTTGAGTCGCGTCGGAACTGTCACATTCTATTCATTTTCGTAATAAGAGCTAACAGGCTACATAGCAAATACCGCTATCCTAGATAGCAAATAACATTGTTTATTAGCGGTCATTTTGCGGAAAGTGAAATTGACAACGTTGTAACTCTACCGAATAAATATTACTCATAAACCCGTTTGTCGCCAATTGAACTGAGTACACCACTCTGAAATATAAGTATTAATCTAGTCAGGTCACGACTCCCGGATATTAATTCGGTTTATTTGGATTAATGATAGTGTACGTAGTTCAAAGAATCACTCGTAATCTACATCCCAGTAAGTGCACTGTTGGTTTCCTGTGTTACAAACATGAAGCTTTATGTACGTGTTTGTCACTGAGTGTTGAAATGGATTGATTTCTGGACCTATCCCAAGGACGCATAAATGAAATGACATCCTGCTGGCGTCTAGTACTTGCTTACTAATTAAGTAATGGTTCAATTCGGAATACATTCTGTTGGTTGTGGTCATCAAAGAAATACTCAATTTTAAGTGTTATTTGGCTATGTTTGTTTTTGGCTATGTACTAAAAAATCAACTAACGCTCTAGTGAAAGTAATTGATGAGATTTTTTGGTTTATGCATCGTACGTTTATGCACTCTTCATAGTTGAACGACCGTTCCATTAACTTTATAGTATATGTCTTAGTTCTGCCTGGTCCAACTACTTTTGAAAGATATTGTAAAATGAATAAAACACTATAGGAATTTGTCTGCAATTGCAAATGTTTTATTTAAATTTAAATTGGAGGAAATTATAATAAATACAAAGCGTTACAAGATGCGTTAACAGGTGGTGTAAATCATTTCGTGATATTTAAATAATAATTTCATTTTTACCACCTCAATATTAGTGTCGCCAATGGTTTCTGCTTGAATCGTGACTGCCATTTTGTAAATTCGTCCTTAAATGACAACATTTAGAAATGTACCCAATGTGAACACTTATAATCTTTCAACATACAGGAGAATATTGTTGCACATTCCAGATGGCGTCGACTAGCCGCCATAGCACCCAAAACACAACGTTTCTCAGTGGACAATCATATTTGAGACTAGTTCCGTATAACTTTTTGCAGGGTGACAATTATACTGATTTATTTGTCTATACATTTGTATATTTAATATGCCACTAGCATTTCTCTTCGCCAACTGTGGAGTCGCTCTTAGTCGCCTATAGGATAATCGGAATATCACATGATCAGGAGGAGCCAATCAATTTTGTCAACAGAACCAAGTCTTATGCTTGAATTTGCTCATCGGATCAGAATCCACCCTACATGCCAGGAGGCGAGCATTTCATAACCATGTGTCGGACTTGAAAAAGTTGTAGTCACATTTGATTTTGTGTTTGCTTGTAGGCGGTGAACCTAGACTACATTAAAAAAGAATCAGTCGAGCCGTTGCCACGCGTTGTCAAGGAGAACGATGCTAACAGTCGGTCCGAGCATCGGTTGACAGTGAATACGGAAGGTGGAAAGGGGCATAGTATTGGTAGAAAATTTAGAAAAGCTCACAGAGATAGAACCTTATCATCTGGCTCGTATTCATCCACCATGTCGAACAGAGAAATGTGCAGGATTTGCCATCACAAGACAGACGATACAGGTGAGCAATAGAGCAATTTTTCTGCTTCCGTCGTGTGGAGCATCCTTGTCTTCCGTATATAAATAATGTAATGGATAATCATGAACAGTGAAAACATGTATATTCGTATTATGTGTCGAGGAACAATATTATATTCAATGAAGTACCGGGAATATCAGTTCAAAACTTACGGTAACTCTTTAGACCTGTACCAGAGTATTACTGCCAGTACTGTGATATTATATGTACGTGTAATGAAACTTTATAACGATGTTGTTTATTTCCATAGGAGTTGACGTTTTAATTTACCCATGTGCGTGCAAATTTTCTTCCGGAGGAGTACACGCGACGTGTGTTAATACATGGGCATGGGAAATGAGATCAAATGTGTGTGAGATATGTCGGCGAAGGTACGACTCTCGATACGTTCCGTACATTAAACAGCCGGTAAGTGTAACGTGACGCTTTTTTTTACTGACTGTCAATTCAATAATGCACTAATCAAATTACTCCCGTCCTGCTCTTAAGGATTGCCATATGTTACCAGTGACGTCATATAATCACCCCCCTTGTATTTGATTCGATGGTTTTCTCTTACGATTTGGAGCCTTTTTGCTGTCACAATATTTGAACAAACTTTGATTCATGGCCTGATGTGATTGCAATTTGGGGTTTTATATACGTGTAGTTGTTGACGGAAAACATGACAGCGAACGAGGTCATTCAAGGTGGCGTGGATTAATTTGACTGGTGGTGCTTTATTTTAAAGTATAATTAGAATGTCGAACGGTCATGTTGTTTTCTGATGACTATGTGACGCCCAGTGATTTCCGTGTGTGTGTGTGCGTGGGGGGGGGGTATGTATATAATCAATCAATGTTAGGATGTTGTTCAAAATCTTGTATTCGTCTGTCCATCGTGCGTTCGTTCGCTAGTTACAAATTTATCGAACGTCCGTCGAACTAGTTCTGTTCGGCATTGGCGCAGTTACAAGAAAGTGTGGGTTTGATATAAGTATTTGTGTATGTATTTCATTGTCCATTCTTGTCATGAAATAAATTATTTGCCTTGGAGTTGGTATTATTGATTGGAAGGTAATATAAACGTTTTAGGATGCGCATACCATTTTGTGTTTAGAACGTAAATGCAGAACGGCCGATTGGTAGCCATTTTTAAGTTATTTACATTCTGACGCTGTATAGTTAAACGTTGGCGGTTTTGTATATTTGCATAATAAGATGTCTCATTTCAAATGAATCATGAACAGTAATACCTAATATGTTAATTACAATAAAGATTTTATTTTCAGCCTAATTACTTCCAATAAATACACTCGGAATGTCGGAATGTCAACTGTTGATATCGACAAATGAAATGTGTTCTGTGAGATATGTACTGCGTGCCCTTCAGTGAATGAAGCCTCGCGATTATAAAAAAATATATACCTATAGATGATTTAGTAGCTATTGAGTCAAAATCAAAAAATGAAAATAGTTATTCGAAAAAATAATTACGTTACCTTGAATTGTAATAAAATGTTCTATGTTCCCTGTTTCAGTGCATCCAATGGAAGTTTGTACCACGATACACACGACGACGTACGGTCATAGCATTAGTTGTGTTAGCGTTTCTTCTAGCGATTACAACTATTACAGCGTACCTTCTAACGGACACATTACTTAATAAACCCGACATCGAAAGTTCGCTACACGCTGTGTGGGCGCTAGTTGCCGCTGCCTCCGTCAGTGGCATGGGACTAATTTGTTTTTTAGCCTGGTTTATTATGTTCTGCTGCGAGACGGTGAAGGAATACCGCGAGGAATCGTCTAAGCATAAAGAAAGACTGGTGCCGCGAGAACAATCGGTCCCACCCGTCACTGTCCAACAAGCATAGACCACGATGCAACATCACTGTGAAGCAAGCATTGACTACGAAGACGCTCCAAGGTTGTATAAAGGAAGACTGGACATTATGATACATCATCAATACAGACAGGTTCTTTTGAGGAAGTATCATTTTTTTCCGCGAGAATTGTGATGGGAACAATCACAGATAATACATTCTTTAAATATTAACATACTGAAATGAACATTTACTACTATGGCAAGTGACCAATAACTGACGCCAACTCGCAATTTCAATGATTATATCCGATGCTGGTCATCGATGGCAGTTATAGGTGCCCGAATGTCAAGTTGCTGGTAACGCCTCTTTCTGATTTCCACTGTGATTACACAACTGATCATATGCCATTGTTGATTCAGCCTACTGTTATTACTATTGTTTAAGTACTTGCACGAAAATTGTCCTTCTATTATTGACCCATGTCCCTGTTCACTGTGCTGCCTTCACCGTTTAATACATCAATTTTACTTGTCTTATGATGTTTGTCCTTATGTTTAATCCAGCGTGTTACTAACTACCGTACTTAAAATGTGTGATTATATTTTAGTTTTTTTATCTGTTTATTAATACAAATGTTTATCTTCTTTGAAAGACATTTAGCTTAGTACTGACAGTGTCAATAATACGGAGTCAAAGCTGGTCTAGTCTCTCCTGGTTTTAAATTAAATTAACAATCCTTTAGATAAAACACTACCTGTGAAATGTTTTAAGCAGAAAAAAAATCAATAGATTTGTGATTTAATTATGTATCAGGGAAAATATTTCTTTTTATTTGATTGGTTTCGTTTTCAATGAAAACTTGTATTATACTGCACGAGTTTTATTGTTCTTTGCTCACCGGTTTTCGATTCGAGTACCTTTTAATGACAAAGCGGGTCGTGTGCATTGTGGCAGAAATTCGGATTTGAGCCACTAGACAGCAAAGGTGCCAACGCCAAATAATAATCTGACCATCCACCTTATACCCCAGAATGCAATGCACTTATTCTCATGTTGAATTAGTAAAACCCGTCAAATTATGAAGATGATTGGCTGTAAGTAGTCACATGATCAACTTGTCTATACACATTGCACAGTTTGTATCGAATTTTATGATATAAGTTGTGTAATTTAACAATATGCAAATTAGGAACCAACAAATTATCTGTTGGTTCAGTGTTTCACGTTGCTCGCGAGGCCTTGGTAACATTCAGGCACTCGATTCTCGCCTGTCAATCAAGCGTTACTGGTGGCATTGTGTCTAGCACAAATCCTTTAACCGGTCATCAATAATTGTGTAGATGAATGCATTGGCCAGTATTAGTCAAAAATGACCTCGCATGACCTACTTGACCTGACACACAGCTGATTCTCTTTTAATCTTATTTATACCACCCTAATATTGTTGTACATTTCAAAGTTGATTTTTTTACGTACCATAGCGATCAAAGCAGTGAAGACTCTCGCCTTTCTAAATGCCATAAACCCAAATATATCATATAACAGGGGCATATTCAAAATAAATTGTTCTTCCAGGGATTCAGAAGTATGTTTTATAATATCAAGTTTACTAACATAACTTTTTGTACGAATTATATTCAGAACAGCAATAAAGTTTATATAATTTTTTGCATTTATTGTGAATTGTTATTGTTAGAGCACGTAGAATAGAGTGTGGGTGACACAATAGATATGCCCTTTAAGTGGACAAACACTGCTGCCCCGGATAGACCACGTGACTAATAAGACCACACCAATAGTAAGCAATCGTCAGGTACGTATTTTGAGTCTTTTTATCATGCAATCTCCATTTGGAATGTTCAACCACCAAGAGTTGGAATTTTCATCGCCCAATCACCAACCGATGAACCCCTAGTATTTTAATTACTGAACAGATTAATATAATCGACATTTTTATGATAAACATCTATATTAATAAACCGGCTTTATGTCAACAGCTTGTCCAATATGACACACACAAGAACATGTATTAGGAACAGCAGTCATGATTCGTATACGGATTTAACGGCACGGTGTCAGGTCAAATTAAAATTGGCAATATACTGCACGTTATTTTATTTATTTATTTATTTATTTATTTATTTATTTATTTATTTATTTATTTATTTATTTATTTATTTATTTATTTATTTATTTATTTATTTATTTATTTATTTATTTATTTATTTATTTATTTATTTATTTATTTATGGGAAACTTTTAAGCAAATCGGCTATCACGGGCTATATTGCTCAGATATTCCAACTCTCCGCAATGCGACCAAATATAATGTTAACCGGGATGTCAAGGCTAAAAGCACAATGCTCCCAGAACTTCACAAATGTAGCAGAAGGCAATTTACAGTTTTTCTATATCACTTTTCTTTCTCTAGATATTCAACCTTTGAACTACATTATGCAGTCCGCCATCTTGATTATCAAGCAAAGCATTGTGGGTACAGTTTGACACAATTTGCTGACTAGAAAGAAGCAGAATTGTCCGTAGTGTTAACACCCACCGGTTTAGCTCTGCTGTCGACATAGCGGAGCTATTCATCTTACTGATTGTCCGTCGCCGTCACTCGTCGTCAACTTTACAATTTCAACTTTTTATTCGAAACCGCAAGTCAGAATATTTTCAAATTTGATATGCAAGTACCTTGGATGGGTTTTTCTCAGATTTGTTCATTTCATGTCAAAATCTTAAAAAAATGTAATTTTCCACTTCTTGTAAAAAACCGCAAGTCCGATTACTTTGATATTACATATATAGGTACTATATGTGGACCTTTCTCAGATTCGTTCATTTCATGATGTTATCTTTAATTCTCTAATTTTGATGAATATTTTTGTAATTTTTGGTAAAATGTGATATTTTCGACTTCTTGTTAAAAACCACAAGTCTGATTGCTTTGATATTACATATATAGGTACTACATGTGGTCCTCTCTCAGATGATATCTTCTGCTCTTTAATTGAAATGTGCATTGTCAACAGCGGAGCTATCTCAGCCGACAGGCTGCTTGTTTAACCACACAGGATATTTTACATATCCTCGAGAACAAGGTACACCTTTCTATTTTATAACTTATTGTTAATGGCTTGCCATTATATGTTCAATTTCAGAAGTACATGGCACACATGATGTTATAGCGTTACAATATGCAAAAAACATCACACAATGACGATATTTACAAATATTTGCATAAAGAAATACATTTTTAAATAGTTGAGAATTAGTATGGTAACAAAGTGCATTTGATGTTCATTACCAAATTTTGGCATCGATCGATACACAGATTATACATATATAAGCAATAACATATATCCGCGATTGGCGAGAGAAGCACATTGGATAATGTTATTGATAACACATGTATTCGAAACGTATATGTAAATCTGAACGAACAATAAAAAGCAAAATTATCTAATTATCTTACAATTGTGACAAGACTTTTATGCTTTGCCCCTTGTCCCCTGACATAATTTACCAAACGAGTTCATTATTTATCACATTTTTTATTGCCGAACCCCTTTACTCCATGCTGTGACGTCATCGGGTAAACTACCCAGAGGGCAAATTCTAATTCGCCTTTTTACGACATTTTCGCTCAAGATATAGACAATGATATTTATGTTCAACACTCACATAAAATTTAAACGAAACCCAAGGTCTTCTAAACTATTGATGCGAGCCATATTCACAATCACTATTTTAGATGCACTTCAATGCCCTTGCCATTTCGTCATTCACAAGGACGACGTTTGCCACTTGACCGACCAACAACAAAAGGGCAGTTGGTTATAAATTGAAAATTAGTGCCACTTTACGCATCGTGTCTTACACACAAACAGATACTAGATTGAACCAACGCTTTACTAAACATATTACTTACATTTGCACACTGCCTAAAAGCGTGTGTGTGACGCCTGATTAGAAAAGATAATGCGGATGTACAAATACTGCTTCTTTAGAATAAGATGAGAAACCTTGGAATTAATTTTAAATATGTTTGTGTTCTTGAGTAATAGCGCGATATGCTTGCGTAATAAGACCTGTTTTCGTTTCCATATATCCCATTGTTTAGACTAAATATTTATTACCACTTTTGTATTAATATTTAATTTGTGAACCGCCACACCTGTATTGGTATCGTTTTACGCCACACTCATATGCAGAATTTAGATTTAAAAAGTGGAGAATAAATTAACATGGAAATTATAAATCATATTTTTTATTTATGCTTTATCTGTACACAGAAGAAGAATAGATTACACGTTTCTGCTTCCTGTGTTATGTGCAGTATGTATAGCAATATAATTATACATATCACATTATGCAGGTTCCTACTAACGGTGAATGAGTCGACAAGAACGCAAACATCACGTGCAGTTTATTCCACGGAAAACATTTTTTTTTGAAAAGTAGAATATGTGCTCCCAGTCTCCCGAATAATTGTACAACCGTTCAGTTAAAGCGGGAGGGTCGTCACCTGCGCACGCGCGGGAATTGAGTCCCAAGCGCCGATAACAACACATGCAAAAAACGCAAAGGCTCATGAGCAGACGCTTGTTTATAAACAATGACACGCTATGGCCACCTGACGCATGCGCAGATGACGACTCCCCTGCTTTAATAAAATTGGAAATATTTGTTTAAAGGAAGTGTGTATTATCTATGAAAAGAATCATTTCAAGTGTGTAAAGAACCATTTCATATTTACATAATTCAAAATCCACATTATCATCGCGGGAAACGAATTTTGTATTTCTGACGGACGACTCCAATATAATTATCAATGTGTCTTCTATTCAAACTCTAAAACCATTTCTGTAGTGGTTTAGGAATATTTGTTTTCAACTTTGTGAAATATAATAATTTATTTTCAATGCAAAAAGAGCACACGTGAACAAAATAAGAAGTGTCCATACTTCACATGTGTCTTTAACTGTACATTGTCCATGTCCATGTATTAAAGTGCGAATAGCAGATTTGGTCTCAAACTCAAACTTAATTTCACGCCCTTCGGGTTTTTGAATGCTTGATGATGAATACTTAGCAATAAATGCCTGCAAAGAGAAAAATGTGTAATTATAGTCATCTATATGGACATCTTCAACTGTCTTTCAGTATCAGTCTCCCTATCCCCCCCCACATTGAACAAGTCCCAACAAATGTTTAGTTAGACTATTATGTAACAGGAATTGAGAAGAATGCGCAAACGATTTTTACTATAATTTTTTCTGGCATTCATTATTCAACATTACTATATTCTACTGAGGGAAAAATGGGTAAAATTAATGTACATCGAAACAGGTATGCTGACTACACAGAGAATAATACCAGTATTGAGATGGTACATGTAAAATATTATTTTCGGGATATTGATTAAATGATGACATGGCTACATCTAACAGAACACTGACCGTACCCAACATGCACCCACAATGCACTCATATAGATTTCCACAGTTTCACAGATGGGGTGTTACACCATTTCGTTCCAGACAGTAGACTCATTCTACATAAACACATGCTACTACATAAAAAAAAACACGTTTTGTAGGATATGTACTGTCACTGATAATTCCATTGTACCATTTATAAAAGGCGTCCAGTAGAGAGTTTTACTTTGAATACTCCCATTAAACTATGGTATTTCATACGTTGACCTGAATCGACTTTCCTGAATCGACATACTTCGTTGAAAACACGCAGTTCAGTATATTCTGAATGACGCAACAAGCGCTTTTTGTGGTTACCAAAGAAGAAGATCGCAGTGTCTTTGTATTATCATAAAAGATAAATAATTTACCTGGCATTCTTCCGATCTTCGTTCGCCGAGTTTGTCTTTTACACCATTTGAATACATGCAGCTTTTCAAATACAAATAGTTTGTAAGCAGAATGTGAACGAATACAGATGGTTATGGCCTGGGAATACGTGGCAGTGTTTACTGAGTGCCATGGATGTCAGATACACCATTAGTCACACGATTATATTGACTATAATTACTTAACATTATGTTTTATTTGTATTAGGACTAGCTTTCGAACGCATATATTTATCGTGAGTGTATGCCAAAGACTTTGCAGTGTGCATATGCTGTGAAATTCACATCAGTATTCGCATGAAATGAACAGTGTAAGTAGTAGCTTGTAGGGGTGGGTAGAAAAACAGAAAGTAGAATCCACCTAGCAAAATTAAAGAAAACTGATTACATTTTTTGATGTGTAAATATGGCTTATGTAAAACTTTCTTGATGAATCGTCATCGAACATGCCACCCATATACACCTTAAATGTGTCCTTGACATTACAAACGCTGTGAAGGATAATATAAACAGTACATGTCAATGTTAGTATGAGTTGTTGTATGAGATTCTGACATTTAGAACTATATGCTATTCATAGTTTTGTCACTATAAAAAGCATTCATGTGTATATATTTACAGTACTCATTGTCGTATATGGCAAATACTTCACCTCAGAATTGAATGCGTCGTTGTTGTTGGTACAAACAAAAGTCA